GGCCGCACGGATCGTTAATACGAGTCTGCACGTGTCACCTCCTTGCCAGTGCATTTTCTTCGATATTAATACACATATTGTAACGCCATGGAATTGCATGTACTTAGTGTAGTTCAGAGCTCTCTTCTCGTTTTCCCGTGGATAAAAGTTATCGATGGATGCAAAAAGTTGTTAAAAATCCGTCATTTCATCTTCCAAACAAAATCGCTCGCTCCTACAGTCGCCATGTCGTTCGAATGCAAAGTGACGACTCCTAGCGTCATGCATAGCGGACATTGCTATAAGGCAAGTGGCATGGTCCCGTCCAGCGCCATCTTATAAACACAATGCGCTGTGGTCAACCCAAATAAAATGGTAGGAAGAATTCGATTTTGGAAAAAAACAATGAAACAAATATTGAAAACATTGAAAAGACAATGGAACATTCCGATACAGTGTTATGCCAAGTACTATATGCCTCGTAGGGCAAGTTTGAGTGTGTAAAATTAAAGATAACATGTTAAACAGTAAAACAGATAGTAAATTCATTTGACATAATTAAAATTATATTTATTTAGTTACATGGTACGTAATATATTAGTATTAAATAGTTAAAGAAATTTGTTATTATAACTCGAGATCGAAATACTCGAGAATATAACTGAAGCGGTCAGTTGATCTTTGGATCACTTGGAGAAAATTGTCTAATTCAGTATTTTTTCAAAAGCGTCACTCTCTTGGCCTTCTTTCAATACGGTGACAGACACCAATGGATGCTTGCTACTTCGCAAATAGTTCTAAAATAAAATGGAAAAGCAGGATTTTTACATGTTTGTAAAATAGTTTAATTAGTAAACCGCAGTGCATTTCGTTTTAAATATAGTTTAGGTACAACTTACGTGTGCATATGCCAAGCCATTTTTACATTCCCCTTCACTGGCATGCTTACCAATCCAAACAAACACTTCCTTGCCAGTATCAGCAATAAATACTGAACGAAACATAAAAATAATATTTCACTACTAAAACGTATTCACCACCATCACCACCACAACCATCATCATCATCATCACCACCACCATCATCATTGCCATCATTATCATCACAACCGCAACCATCACTACCGCAACGATCGTCATCATCACCATAACACCATTACAACCACCATCATCATCACAATTAGCACCACCACCATTACCATAACAATCACCATCACTTTACCGTCTTCACTCTTTATTTGGTCCTTTGGAATACTTCCTTCACTGACGACAGTCATGGCCAGACTGCCATCTTCATCACTCAACCTTTAATTGGAGGACATGTTAATCATTTAAGGATATGAAACATTTTGGTAACTGGACCTCTTGGAAGAACAGTTTAGAAAAGATTGAGCAATCAGCATAATTCCGGTAGGCTGGAAAGTTTTATTTTAGAAACGGACAACTCCTACCTCAACAGAGTGGGATTGAAGGAATCACTGTCATCAGGTTCGTCCTGAAAGAAGACAGTAAATCCAATACTGTTATACTGTCATAAATTATGTCCCTTTAGATTTAGTGAAAATATTCCTGCATTGAGCGCAGCCGCCTACTTTCTCACTACAGCTATGAAAGTCGTGATATGTACCTCATCATTGGGGGCATCACCATCTTGAAGCAGCTCATAAATGCGGTGGTTGTTTGGAGTACTGACTTCATCTAAATGCAACATGAATACCAAGGCTAAAATAATACTTGTTTAACCATATAAAGATATATATGATGGTCTGGAAACTAAACAGATCTAAAAGTCATATATTGTGTTACAATAGTTTTGTTTGTAGAAACACCACGTTAATTTATTACTGCAAAGCTTTCGATCCGTAAGCCTGAGTCCTCATCAGTGCTAATAATATGATAATAATAATAACAATGACGATGACGATGACGATGACGATGACAATAATAATAATAATAATAATTACGGATCGAAAGCTTTGCAGTGATAAATTTACGTGGTGTTTCCACAAGCAAAACTATTATAATATATTTTATCGCCATGCAAACCTACAAAGAACTTATTGTGTTATGTTTTGTGCACGGTGAGGTACAGTTCATTCAACAACAAACAAGGGCCTTCTATTTTGTAGCTTTGAAGTCCACCGGCCATACTTCCAGACCATAATATCTTGACAGACTATGGTTTAAGACTATGGTTTAAGGTGGCTACCTATATGTACACTTTTTAAAATATGGAAGATTTGGACGTGAATTTCTGGACAATAATTATTTGTTGAAAACCAAAGAGTATCTGACTTGAATAAAACAATCTGCCTCGTCGCTTCGGTTGGGAATAGAGATCAGTGGAAAAACGATGAGAACGCGGGGCTTAATGGGAATGCAATAGAACTATCGCGACCGCGCGTATACGGATGATGGACTGTGGAAGAGTCAGTAAGACAATAACTAAGGATTTCGGAGTTTGTAAAAATTTACTCTTAGCAGCCGTTGCTATGGCAACAATGACGTTTCAATGGCCGATCTTTTTGGTTTAATGCGACCTTAACTCGAAAATAAAGTCGGTGACCAACATTTTTTATTTTATAGCATGATTTCTTTTAGTATGTTGAATCATTTTTGTGATATAAAAAAATCTATCATGCCAAAATTTTTCAAGATCGGAAATTTTTTTCGCACGGCGGCATTTTTTAAAAATCATAACAATGATTTAAAATACTAAACGAATTTTTTTTATGAAATAAACAATGGGGGTAAGCGACCTTATTTTCAAATTGTATAACTTTAAACCCAAAATATCGGCCATATTGAAGCGTCATTGTTGCCATAGAAACGGCAAATGTGATTCTTTTTTTTTTTTAAAAATCCAACTCTGTAGTTATTATTTTTCTAATTGGACTTTCTTTGCCTTTCAACATGTAGGAATTGTTGAAAAATTGGGTCTAAATCGGAGATCTTCGATTTTCTAGTAAACTGTAGGGAGTCACCTTAACTTAGATAATTTAAGACATTTTCTATATTTCTGATCAGTGAAGTTTGTGTACTCACCAAGAACTTTCACTTTTGGTTTTCCAGATCGGTCGGACTAAATGAAAATTTCAAATGTTAAAAAAAAGATAAAAATCTTCAGACACACCAATTGCTTGACCTCCTATAACCAGTGACTTTTATATATATATATATATATATATATATATATATATATATATATATATATATATATATATATATATATATATATATATATTTATAATATAGCATTTGTAAATTTTGAACGCTGATTGGCTAAGAGCTGTGTTGATATAACTCAATGTCAACACGGAAAATTGCTTTCTTTATATTTCTTTGTGCTATATTATAAAAAATATATAACACACTTTTCCGTATTGATATACAGTTATATCAACACACGTGGAAATTGGGAAAACTCACGAAATTGTGTGAAAATACAATTTCCACACAATTTCTCGTTTTCCCAATTCCCACTCGTGTTGATATAACTGCATATCAACACGGAAAATGTTTCATATTTGTTAAATATATTTGTGAAACTCAATAATTCATGAAGAAAACATATAAAACGGAAATCATGAGCTTCCGATCTGTTTGTATATCTGATACAGAATCATGCTGATTTACATAAACTAGTCAAGTTTAATTTAAAAATGGTTGATGTATACGAATGTTCTCATCGAGACATTTCACAAACTGAAAACTCGAACACTAGAAAAAGTACAAATTTATGGCTTGGAGTTATTAAGAAATGGGCAGCATTAAGGAGCATATTGCCGAAGACAGCAAATATGAGAAAATATCTTGAACTAAAAACAAACATGAAACCTTTAATTGTTGTGTATACTGTAAAGCTTTGAATTTTTCATCTTTGTTGCAGGTTAACCCATTCCACTGCAAAAGAAGTGAAATACTATTAGCAGTATTCAACCATCAGCTGAAATGAATAGCTGAAGCAAGACGAAACAGAGGAAATCATGATTGCGAGGTTTTAGAGTTGGTAATGAGGAATAATATAATTGATGGATCACGGATCAGACTACCTATACTACACACGTAAAAACGCGCAAGTTGTTACAGGTCTGCAAACAAGTTGTAACAAGATTCTTGCCAAGTCAATACCAGGATGTGTTCGCATTGCTTGTTCCAGTTGTTGTGACAAGTCTGGAACAACTTGTAAATTATTATAGCTACGAGTTGTTCCAATAAGACTAATACAGGCTGTTCGTAATAACTTGTTAATCAATGTCGGCAGATGATATCAGACTTGTTGCGAGTCTGTTCGCTTCACTAACGGCTTGTTACAAGATGACAACAACTTGTTCCAGACTTGTCAACAACTGGAGACAAACAGTGCAAACACATCATGCTGACAAGCTGTGAGATTTTTACCCATCTTGAAGTTAAGTAGCCAATTAAGACTAATTGCATAAAAAGCATTTGGCGGTATTTAGGTCACGTGTGCACATTTGTAAACGGCAGTATAGACTAGGAAGTCATGTCAGCGGAATATTTATGAAAGTTATGGACAGAAGTACGATTTATTAGAATCAAAACGCACGCATCACTAGATTTACGCTGTAAATGCATGCTAATGAAGCGTGAGATTGTCCCCATGGACAGTGAATACTAATAAAGTAAACAAATAGATTCATCTTACAAGTTCGTTAAAATATTCGCTACTGATCTTTATGGGCATGAATTTAACAATTTTAGATGCCCATAAAGGTCAGCTGTTCATATTTTAACTAGTACGTAAAGATTTATTAAAAACCTGATAAATTTCCAATCCATTATCAATAATGAAAACATCTCCAGAATCTAACTTGGATTTGTATGGTGGAACCTCTTTCACAAAGACTTTGCGCTAGAAAATGAAAAATCAAATTAATTACCAAATCTTACTCCCTGGTCAGGGGCGGACGTTAAGGGGCTGTAACTCCCCTCGAATTTAAAATCACAAAAAGTCGATCCCAGTTTTGATTGTTTTGATGAAGACTGTATCAAAAGTCGGTCCTGAATTTCTGCTATGAGAGTTAAATTGTTTAATCCACAAGCCACATATGTCTGGTGTACACAGTAGCATTTTTTCATCCAAATTCTTCAACTCAGTGCCGAAAAGTGTAGAATTCGAAAATGGCATTTCCGAACCTCAATTTTGCAAATTTTTCCTGGGGAAGCATGCCCCCCAGTTTACCCCGCTCCTATTACACTTATCTGAATATCTTAAGTCTTAACTATGGTTCTCAGCTTAGCTGGAACTGATTAGCTTCCCCAAAATAAAAACTGTTCCGCTGCCACTAGGTGTAGTGTACAAGAAAGTCGGTCCCAGATCGTCCGAATCCCTCTCCCTTCACTCCCGAGCAATTTGTTGGATGTGCACCCCCATTTGTTGGATATCCGGGCAAAGAAAATTCTTTTTCCTGGGTTACCCGTAAAAATCTTCGAACAGAAAAACTCATTCCAATTGGAAATTGGCCCAAATTCCAATTGGCAATTCCAGTTTTAATATATGAGCGCAGGGGAGGATAGGAAGTAAGGTATTAAATTGCTGATTATACTGAAACGACGGCCGTGTTAACACGGAGTGATAGCTTATACTTGTAAATATTGAAATATTTCGGTTGTTTCAGCAGTTTTTATTGAAATTTTCAGCATAATCAGTAATATGATACCTTACTTCCCATCACCCCCTGAGTGCATAAATTAAAAGCTGAAATAGCCTATTGCAATTCTAATTCCAATTGGGAATTAAATAGTTAGTCTGCTAAACAAAATATGAACATACGCTTAGTCCACTGACGTGGAATAGTCGAATTTGATATTCTTCAGGTTTCACATGTCTGAATCCACTGTCATAACTAAAATGAAAAACATAGTATAAAATAAGATCACATTCTTATATTGAATGGTTCTTCCACATTCATTTAAGGTTATGAGCATTCTTGAGTGAAGTTTCCCATTTGGATAAAACATGCACTGGTGAGCACCAATCAGATTAGTTTGTTAAAATATTTTTGCACTGCTGTTTGGGATTAATTGCACTGATCTAAATCAATCAATCACAGTTTCAACAGTAACATTTTTATGTCTATTATTAAGCTAGTTATAGTCAGTGAGTCATATTATATCCAGGAAGGATGAAGTGAGGCAGACAACTAGCTTGTTATTCAGTCAATGGTAAGTACAACATATGGAAACTTTTTTCAAGATCCAAAAAACACGTTGATATCGAAGGAACTAGACTCTGAGTTATGAAATATCACCCACTCGAACCGACTTGACTTCGTAGTGCAGTTGGTAGAGCTTTGCACTAGTAATTAAAATACTCATTAATAATTCATAAACCTTGTGGCAAATCAAGTTACCCATAATATGTTACGTGGAGTGACTTTATATCTGATAAAACTCTTCTTGATTAGTATTCTTTATATAATTGTTCATCCTAATGATATTCTTTTGTATAGTCGTATTTAATTAAGCTATTCAAACACTCGTTGTCGTGTTTTATCACTAGATATGAAAACGCTCGGCTGCGCCTCGCGTTTTATATCTGATAAAACACTCCTACTTGTGTTTTAAATAGTACATCAAAGGTCGCAGGTTCGATTTCCACCGTGGTCAAGAAAACTTTTCAGCTTGCCCGGTGTGGACCCGCTCAGAGACATGCAATATCACTAACATATATCTTCACCTGAACGCATAACACAAGAAACAAAAAAAGATATTAAAATATATCATGCTTGAAGACTTACCCTCCTTCTAACAAAGTGATGTGTTCAAAGTAGGATTTAAACAAAGAACTCTCATGACCCTGTACTTCACGATGCTGAACTGGCTTGTCATCCAACTGTGGAAACAACACAGGATTTATTTTTAATTTGATCAAAATGATGCCTGTAGGGTCAGCCAACACATTTTAACTACGTGACTGCGATGGTGCGATCCATATTTATTATTTTTAAAATGCAATACAAAATGGAGCAACGTACGTACCAGCGTGTCAAGCTCAACTGTCTTGTACGCCGCAGTGCCGTATTCATCTTGGGTTGAATTCTGTCCAATCCAGAAATGAACATCATAAAGCAGTTCCTGTCAACACCAGATTAAAATATTGACATATAATATACAAACCTTATTACTGCTTATTCATTAGATGAGTAATAAATGTTAAGGGTGGCTTAATGGATTAAAAGAAAGCAAGAAACATGTGTAAATAGCTTGGTTATGAATGCAGTATTGCAAAGCATGAATAGAACTGGAACGTGTTTATGTCATGATTGACAGATTGAGCGCTTTTCGCATGCGTGAAAAGGCTGGAACTGGCCTTCAAGTTTGGCTTCAAATTTCCAGTTGGAGGTAACGTTCTAGTTCTATTCAGTTCAATGGGTTTAACCCATTAAGTTGAATCGTGCTGTAATGCACCCTACTTTATTCTTTTACTCAGCCTAACACTAGATGATTTTATTTATCAAGGTGAAAGCGCTCATTGGGTTAATAGAGCTCAACATTGCGCATTAGGTATTTAGGCTGAATTGCACCATTCATTTTCTAGATCTCTATCTAAACAATATCTCATAATCTAGGATAGCCGAATACATCAACTTACATCGCCCTTAGGTTTTTTGTATGTGTTCAGAATGATGTATGAATCGTCATTGTAAAACTTGCCGTAGTCATCTTTTTGTTCATGAGTTACCTATAACAACAAAAACAATCATTCATGTCAATTTATTATTACAACAAAATGAATAAAGAAGGATTTTGTACTAATATTCATTGTAGAACCTGATAATTATGCATTATACCCATCAATACCATCCTAGGAATTTTCAATAAATTAATAACATGTAAGTTTCCCAGGCTTGGAACAAAAACTATACCCTACAGTATGTGGGATGAAATTCGTGTCTTTCAATGTTGAAATATTATTTATACTGGATAGTTCTGTCACTTCCAAAATGTCAGCACCCACTGTGCAATATGATGGCTTACAGTATTGAGTCACTGCTTTTACAGAAGGAAACTGGAGCACCCAGAGAAAACGTGTGATGTTTCGTAGAATCAAACAGGAAGAACTCTTTTCATACACCAAAATATGGATTTGTCTAACCATAGCCAGGGCCGTCCTCAGGAAATTCTTCAGGGGGGGTGTAATTCAATTCAACCGACTGGTTCAAAAAAATTTTTCCGGAACAAAATTTTTTGGTCGACCCTACCCCCGTCGCCAAAAAATTTCGGTCAGTGTACCATTTTAGGGGTCCAAAAATTTTTCCGGACGTACAAAAATTTTCAACATTTTTTTACATTTTTCCAAAATTTTTACATTTTTCCTCAAAATTTTCCTAAAATTCCCACCACGTTCTTGCCCTTTGCGCAAAAAGATGTAACCCAAATAGCAGTTCTACCGACTGAATAGCAGTCCTGCCGACTGAATACAATTGCTGGGGGGGTGTCACACACCCCCACCCCGTAGCTCCGGGCCTGCTTGATAGCCTATCGAAGGGAAGATGGCTGTGAAAATCATTAGAACAAGACGCTCTATTGACCATTTAAGCGTTAAGTTGCTGGGATATTGGGGCTGTAGCCTGTATTGCAGTACATTTTTACGATGCACTTACATATTGAAGCTAGCGCTCTTTGCAAAAAAATATTTGTACACGATAACAAAGAAATTTTAGCAAAAAATAAAACACAATTGGTTCAGAAGGTACTGTGTTGGGAATTGTGCAACATTAATTGATATTTAATTAATACCTAATTATAGAAACGCGATATCCATATATAGACTTTTGTAATTTTGTAGACGTAAGCGAACTGAGTTGGTTTTTAGAGACTTTAGAGAGAATAGAATTGCGTAGAAAAAAACTATATTATCATTAGTTTATCTTGTGAGTTTATTGCGAACGAGCTGTGGTTTCAATCCGCATTCGCGATAACTGAACTCTTCGCCGTCTTTTTACTAGATAGAGGTCAGCTGGTTAAAACTCTCCTTGTGGTGGCAACAGTATTCGTGACTAGATGGTTTGGGGTTAAGGGTTCTGCTTCGGTAGGGGAGATTGGTGACTGTTAACAATGGCTTCGGTCTCGCACATGAACGTATGCAATGACTCTTCGTCCAACTGAGTCTCAAATTAAAGAAGGATGACATTTAGGTATGATTTGACGTTCCCACACGCCGCCGATATGCGGCAGGTACAAAACGCAGGTTGCAGGTTGTAGGTTGGAATTTCGCAGGTTGGGAATTTTGCAGGTTGGAATTTTGCAGGTTGGAGATTTTGCAGGTTGGAATTTTGCAGGTTGCCAGGAATTTTGCAGGTTGATGATGCTAACTTAAAATTACACCACTATAAAGTATTCTAGTATAATTTAATTGTGTACTTATTGCAGTCTGACTCCTTGTCGGCGCTTTTGATATCAGCCTATCCTGCTACCATGTTCCTAGCTTCTGCTCTAAGGAGTGGCCATCACCCTTGTGAAAACATTCAAAATGACCAGATTGGCTTGGACCTTCAGGGGGATGGATGTTTCGATTGTTGCGAGGAGCCTACATGACGTGGTGGCAGTTCAGAAAATGCCTGAATGAGGTGTCTCTCCTCTGCACCCACTTATTAGAAGTCCACTCAAGCCCCCAATTACCGTGTCATTACTCGAGAGTTAGTTAACTTTTAACAACATTCTGGTATAAACGCCGCCAGGTCATGTAGGCTCCTCGCAACAATCAAAACATTCGTCTCCCTGCCGTCCAAGCCAATCTGGTCATTTTGAATGTTTTTATGGGGGTGATGGCCACTAGCCTTAGAGCAGAGGCTAGGAACATGGCAACAGGGTAGGCTGATTAGTTGATATCAAAAGCGCCGACAAGGAGTCAGACTGCAATAAATGCACAACTAAGTTATACTAGAATACTAAAAAAGTGGTGTGATTTTAAGTTAGCATTATCAACCTGCAAAGTTCCTGGCAACCTGCAAAATTCCAACCTGCAAAATTCCAACCTGCAAAATCCTCAACCTGCAAAATTCCAACCTGCAACCCGCATTTTGTACCTGCCGGCCCATATGGCTACTGGAGGGAACATTCATTTGAAACGCGAACCAGTCGCACTCTTTCTCTACTGGAAATGATCGCACTCTGTGTTGATCCATTCCTATCAAAGCTGCTCAATTCTCGTTGAGTTCCAGCTAAGTTTTGCCCTGATCTGATCTTCGATGACACACTGGTCCACGTCTGGCCACGAAACGACGCAACGCGTTGATAAATGAATCGGTCTCCAGTGATTTCGCCGTCTCGAGATGGATTGCACGAGATGATAAGCATGTAAACAAAACACCGTTGCATTTAAGTCCCCTTCGCCCATCTTCAATATAATATAGCAATCCACTCCGCAATACGTAAATGGCGGCGCAGGTTCTAATCCATCATGGGAAAGTTCGGCCATTTTCTGCTCTCAACCGTGCCACGAAGCTTTCGACACATATCGCATTCGGCAATGTGATCAGCTACGGCGGAGCTTCCACCAATGATCCGTTCGCGCGAATCTTGTTCAGGGTGATTCCTCGACCTTGGTGCCTAACTCGTTAGTAATAATACCGGATGACAAGAGCTGTAATGTGTCCCTTTCTCGGTAATATAACTGGATGTTTGATATGGTAGCAAACGTCGGCGCGGTTAATACGTCCTCCCACTCGCAAGAGTCCCTCTTTACCCATAAACGGGTCCAATCTGCAAAGAGCGCTGGTTTTCTTTAAATTAAGTTAGCCTTACGATCTTCGACATTCTTCTCTATTCGTGGGATTAGATTTTAGGCGGCGCAACAGTTTGATCTCGTTCGGAAATGCCCCACTTTCAACTACTGTATCTCTACCTCCCCTTGACGTAACTCGTCTACGTCTGGTAGCTTATACGCTTGATTCGATATCTTCACTTGACTTCGTTCTCGATCCTTTTGGTAATTTCTTAGGTGCTTCCGAAGTCTCAGACAAATCGCGATGGCACTTTTCCCACGGTGCTGAGAAATTTTTCGCAATTCTGTACCATTCCTTGCGCGACGAAACATTTTACCTTCTTAACTTCTGGGTCATCTTTGGAGACGGGTAAACTTTCGATGCAAGGTGCGGAGATCTCAGATTTCCTGAAAAGCTCGGGTCCAGAAAGCCACCAAGGGTTGCATATAAGCTGTCGAGCACTTAATCCTCGTGACGCCTCGTACGTCCGCAGGGTTTTCTTTACTCTCGACATATCGCCAATGATTTGAGCTAGTGCATTCTCGGATCTGTTGCACTCTATTCGCAACGAATATGTGAAAGCGCCTGGCATTGTTATTAAAATCGAGCGTATTATACCACTTTGCTGTCTGTCCAGAATATGTCAACAATCCCTTCGTAATTGAGCTCCTTGTGCAACATTGCCGTTAATTCCAGGCGGGGTATGCCTCGGGGTATCAAGCAGTGGAAAATGACGAATTTTCGGAAATTTTGACCTATAAAAGGGCTAATAGGGGGGTTCGGAAATTTGAAAGTTTTGTCGGAAATTTAGAAGGCTTCGCCCCCCTCCCCCAACCGGAAAAAGTGAATTTCCGCCACTGGGGGTATGGTTGCCGGATCATTTAGGAGGGCATATACAAGTATCTCGGTGTCAGGGTTATCGCTATGGTGGATCCATACTGAGATTATCATGGAGCTCATTCGCACTTGACCTACGTCGTTCATGAAACAAGCTTTGGTGCAGTTGACAGTTGGTGAGTTGACATTTTCGTCATGGGAATTGTTCGTTCCGTTGCCCGTATTCTCTTTGAAATCACCAGAGAGTGGCAGAGAGGTGTGATGTAACTTTCTACCAGAGTCGCACTTCTTTGTTTTCTTAGTCTGTTTTGACAGATGTCCTTGTCCTAAGCAGCCACAGCAAAATCCTTTCTTTCTCGCAAATTTCTTCCTATCTTTGATATCAATTCCACGAAACTGTTGACAGGAGTTTAAATCGTAAATTTTCTTGCAAAGTTGACATTTGTCGCTGACTACTTTCCCGCGTTTGGATGGGTCTTTAGTCTTCTTTAGAATCCTTTTACTGAGATTTTGTCGCAAAGTTTCTCTTATCGTGTTCTGTTCTGGGTTTGTATCTCTGGAAGGGACGATCTGACCTCCGGGGATCCCTAGGTCGCTTGTTGTCATCGTTGATTCTACTGCTTCTCAGGTTAACTGGGTTGCAAGAAATATTTGATTCAGTTACAGTACTAGGTATTGAACAAATTCTGAAAATGTAGGGAATTTTTTCTTCTCTTCCCTTGATTTGTAGACCTCTCTTGCCCATCTATAGTATTTGATAACCACTTGGGTAGTTTGGATATCATTTTGTGGTTTTCTTGTATATCGTTGAGAACATCAAGACCGCTGACTTTTTGCATTGCCATATCATTGAACAAGGATGTCAACATACTTTCTTAGACCAGTCGCATCACCAGGTGTAATTGGTTTCCATTCATCAAGTCTCTTTCTAAAGGCTGCTGCTACGGCGCTGGAGAATGGATCGTCAAACCTTTTTGCCTGCATCTCCTTTGCTTTCAAGGTACGCGTCGTCACCATACAAAGCATGAAACCATTCATCACCTCTTTCGCTTCACCACTAACGTGTTTTCTAAGAAAATATAAACTTTCTGCTGGGTTGATTGCTCTGCCTTCAATAAGAGCCTCAAATACCTTCATCCACATTGTGTATTTCAAACGATTACCGCTAAAGACTCCAGGCTGTCGATCGGTTCTGGTTCCAACATATTTGTGATGGAGGTTAATTGAGCTTGAACCAAGTCGGGGTTCAGTGATGACTGGGTACAGTGTTGGAGCCAAGGTAGTATCCATGTTAGGAACGTACGCAGGAACAGATGGATCTAGTTGGGATAGATGAGGAAATGGGGATCTGCATTCGCGAGGTAGTAGTTTGGTTGCAGCGTGTGTGTCGGGTTCGTTATTTTCTCCAGAGGGTGTTGGCTAAGGTCCTGAGATTGAATATTTTTTTCGACGTGTCCTTGTGGGGCGTTACTTCGATTGTCATCATCGAACATCACTGGCATACTTTCGTTCTCAAACCGTGTGCATGCCTCAACTTTCGTTTTTCTTTCTCCGCCAACTGCTACTTAAATACTCCTTTATTTTGAACTTTCCTTTGCAAGTTAAATTTCTTCAACCAGTCTCTGGTCTTCCCTCTGAACTTCTAATTTTCGTTTCTCTATTTCGTTGAGTGCAAGTCTATTTGCCTTGTCGACTAATTAGTTCTGGCCTTCTCGAATGCCTTAATTGATTTGCGAGACTTCGGTGGCTTTGTGAAGAACTTACTGAATATCTGTCCTCATCTTCTTTCAGTCTTAACTCGCAAATTGTCTGTCCTAATTTTTTGAAAATTTGACTAGTTTCCTGACTCATGTCCTTGAATTTTTCATACAAAATCATTTTTTCCGAGCTCTGACTGTTTTCTAATGCCTCTTGGGCTGTTGCTACAATCCTGGAAAAATTAGTAGACTTCTTAAATTTTCAAACTTTGCCCCCCTCCCCCGTTATACAATGTTGGTGTTTAGGTGACATGTGTTGCAAATCAAATTTTTCTGAACCAACATTGTTTTTTTTTTTGGGGGGGGGGGGATTTAAGGTAAATAGTTGCTTTAATTGAAAAATGCTCACATTTTCATCATATGTTTTCCAATTTTGGTGTATTTTTCGAAATTGGTAAAGTTCGAGCGCCGGCCTTACGCGTGTTTATATGTAGTACATCCGTCTATAAATCAAACAATACTCAATATAGATACCTTGGACTTATTAATATTCCTAAGCCCCTCCTACAGAGCATGCCCATTCGCAGGTTAGGGTGGGCATGCCCAACCCTAAACTGCGAACGGGCATACTCTGGGTACCCCAGTTCCGGTTTACGGGTACGGGTGATATACACGTACCCGTAAACCTGGGAACGACTTGTAACTTAAGAAATCCAAGATATTCCGGCGTGAGAAAACCTATAAGAGAATGGTAAATTTCACTGTTGAGGTTCGCCATAGATTGTTGAAAACTTTGACAAGCATATGTGCAATATTTATTTGGGTAAGATGTTTAAAATTTTTATTATTTAAACGGCCCACAAATAGTAAATAAAACACCCGCACCCGTTTGTTTTTTACGAGTAGCCTGGTAGAAATTTCGTGTAAAAATGCTGACATCAGCAAAAATTGGCAAACAAAATGGCGATACTCGACATACTCGATCAAATTAATCCATGCGACCCACGCAAAGGTCACGCAAACCATAGAATAACACATAGAGCGCCTAGGTACGAGGCAGCTCGTACCCGTAATTAACCGAGTATCGCCATTTTGTTTACCAATTTTTGCTGATGTCAGCATTTTTTATACGAAATTTCTACCATGGTCTACAAGTAAAAGACAAACGAGTATGGGTGTTTTAAATTTATATTTACTCTTTGTGGGCCGTTTAAATAGTAAAAATTTTCAACATTTTACCCAAATAAATTATGCACATATGCTTGTCAAAGTTTTCAACAATCTATGGCGAACCTCAACAGTGAAAGTTATCACACATTCGTTGAAGGCAGACGCGTGTTTTGAGCTCTGCTATTGTAAAAATTTTTAAGCTATCTAGAGCTATGGCTATTTTCTCAGGTTGTAGCGATGAAATAAAAGTACATCTTGATAGGTTAACGCAGTGTCTACTTAAAAACACTGAATGGAAACAAGCTTAAATGGACCATAGCCTATCCGAGGGAAGATGGCTGTGAAACTCATTAGAATAACAATTATATAACTCATTATCTATGTTGGTCAACGTTTATTCATAAATCTGGTCCTTCATCGTCACGTGTGTATTGTATTTCTGCCCAACTAACCAATAGCAATGTTTTAGGAGGGGTAGGTATTTTTCGAGTTAAGCCCTTCGAGTTAAGCCCTCCGAGTTAAGCCCTTTAATTTCATTTCGAGTTAAGCCCCTGCCACACCCTTTTTCGCCGGGGCCTTAACTCGAATTCAATTAACGATTTAAGCATTCGAGTTAAGCCCCGACATTTGATGGATGTAAACAAGTGACGCGTGTATACTCGCAAAAATATTGGCAAATATATGTAAGGAGGAAGAATGTAAAATTTCAGCAATTTTAAGAAATATATTTTACTTAGATCTCTGTTGCTTTGCCTACAGTTTTATACAGATCGATACCTACAGTTTTTGACATCGTAGAACGAGAGAGTTCAATAAGGATTTGTAAACAATAGCTCATTCAGGGCGGCAATTTTAAGACGGCTTTAAAAACTAAATAATATATAGCGGCACTTGCAAAACACAAATCTTAGGCATGTTCAAATGGAGGTGAGCTACCTTTCGTTCTAACCGATTTGCTCGGCAATGACAAGATCTAGGATGTTGTGACGCTGTAGTATTCATGTCCCATTGTCCCCTACTTCGGAGAAGAGATATATCTTAGAAAGGTAGCTTGCCTCCATATGAACATGCCTAAGATTTGCGTTCTGCAAGTGCCGCTATATATTATTTAGTTTTTAAAGCTGTAATTGCCGCCTTGATTGAAACTGCTGTTTACAAATCCTTATTGAGTTCTCTCGTTTCACGATATCATTGTCTGTATAAAACTGTAGGCAAAGCAACAGAGATCTAAGTACTGTAAAATATATGTCTTAAAATTGCTGAAATTTTACATTCTCCTTCCTTACATATAATTGCCAATATGTTTGCGAGTATACACGCGTCACTTGTTTACATCCACCAAATGTCGTGGCTTAACTCGAATGCTTAAATCGTTAATTGACTTCGAGTTAAGCCCCGGGCGAAAACGGGCGTGACAGGGGGCTTAACTCGAAAAGGACTTAACTCGGAGGGCTTAACTCGAAGGGCTTAACTCGAAAAATACCTACCCCGTTTTAGGAAAGTCACCTATCCGTGACTCGAACAATAGGGAAACTGCAAATTGCTATTGGTAGATTTGGCAAAAATATAATACACACGTGACGGTGAAAGGACCAGATTTTTGAATAAACGTTGACTAACATAGATGAGTTGTATTGTTATTCTAATGAGTTTCACAGCCATCTTCCCTTCGATAGGCTATGAATGTACAAATGATTTTGAGCGATTAAAGCATTTCATCGAAGAAATAGTTGCAAAAAAAAGGCAAATGGTCTTCGCCTGTTGGTGGCTCAAGGCGATTTAAATCGCAATGTGTCCAGTTTCAAGTAACGTGGTAATGTAGATACATTACTTTTTCAAGGGGAACTCGCGGAAGATTTGGCAGTTAAACTAAAAGAGGCGATTACAAAAGTGATCGAAGATGCTGAAAATCTCGCCAAACACGATGACCCCTCTGAAGCTAGTCGAAACCTCGACTTTCAAACACACAGAAGAATCATTCCCAAAGGAGCCAGTGTCTTGTTCCTTCCAAAAGCTCACGGCGGATGTTGAACGTGTAAAGCTTGACATGGTTAAAATGGAAAAAAGAATTAATGCAAAATTAGAAGCAATATCGAATAATGCAGAAAACGAAAAGCCAAAGGAAAACCCTAAAGAAGACGAGCCTCGGCAGGAAATTGCCCATCATGAACAAACTATTCAAGAATTACAGAGCAAAATTACGTCGTTAACGAAGTTGCACAATAAAAATCTTGAACAAAAAGAACAATTAGTCATCTCGTCTCTAGAGAAACAAATAACAAAGGCACAGTACGAACAATCGACTCTGACAAAACAATTGACTGATATCACACAGGAAAGAGACTCATTGATATTAGCATTTTCTTTAATCATCGATGACAAATCTAGTGGGCAAGATTATGAATGCAGCTGCAAAACCTTCTGCTGGGAAGCCCGCCGATGATGCTAGCTGCGTTTGTCGTTATCGCTACTCTGTTTTAGAAGATAACATAATATTAGACCCTAATGAGTCTAATGAGAACAAGGTTGACGAATTGATATATGACGAAGAACAGGTCAAGGCAAAAGCAGTAAATCATGATAATTCTGACCTTGAAGGTAGCATAATTATAAATGCTGTTAATGAATCTAATGAGAACAACTGATGTTGAAAATAGACAAACTGGCAAATCAAATGAGTCGAAGCGTGACGAAACACAGCACAAGGAAAGACCATAATGCTGGGGGGGGGGAGCAAAGGGAAAGGCAGAACTGTTATAGTTGAAGATTCGATTGTGAAAGGATTACTGTAGATCAATACAAGATAAGCTAGCAGAGCCTCCAAACAGAACGTTGGCGTTCGTTGCTTTGCTGGAGCTACAGTTCAAGACATGAAGGATTATATTAGACAGATACTACAGATTTTGAGAAGAAACCCAGACACCATAGTCTTACACGTCGGGACAAACGATGCTATAAAAAGGCAACAAGGCAAGCAAAGTCATGGATAATATTGACTCTTTGTGTCAAGAGATTAAAGAAAATAACGAGAGAAGATAATCCTCAAGCCAAGAAAACTGTAACTGAGGTAAATACCCTTTTAGAAAACTATTGTACAGCGACAAACATGTGCTTGATTATAAGCATAAAACCATTCACTGATCGTTCAAAAAATATATCCAATTAGCATTTAAACAAATTTAATTAGATCAGCATGTTTTGCAAAGAACTTTATACAGTTTTTTAATCACTGCTTTTAGGTCTGCTAAAGATATCCAATCTCCAACTTTTAGAAGCAGTTTTAGAGCGAAAAGTGAGACGGTAGAGGTGTATGATTATCCACCTAATATATCACCGCAAATTTCGGACAATATTTTAAATCCCGGCATCCCGCTGAAGTTTTAAAAACTCTTAAGGGTTTCAGAGTTGGTCATCTTAATATAACATCGCTCGTTAATTAAACATGTCGATGAACTAAGAGTGTATATGAGAGACGAACCATTTGATATACTAAGTATAAATGAGAGCCGCTTGGACGCAACTATAAATTGGGATACCGTTGGCATCCAGGACTACGATATGGTGGCTAAACACCATAACCGAGAGGGTGGCGGTGTTGCACTTTATTACCGAAGCACTCTCAATGTTATAAATAGAACCGATTTAGTCCCTGCGGAAGTAGAAGTAGTCTGCCTTGAAATAATAATTAAAGCCTAAATGTTTGTTGTGTCAGCATAGGTAGACCACTAAACTCCAGCATTGAATTGTTTGAGAAAATTGAAACATTGTTTCAAAATTTAGACAACGAAAGAAAAGAGCTGATACTTGTAGGTGACTTAAACTGTGACTTCATAAAAATTCTGCAAACAGCCAGACGAAACAGCTGATTGACTTAATAAATGTATTCTAGTAACTCAGTTACGTTGATTAAAGAACCAACACGTATCACAGATAACACAGCTACTCTTCTTGACGTGGCCATTGTAAGCAAACCGGATAATATTTGCAGATCTGGAGTTTTGCATATAAGAATAAGTGACCATGCACATGCAGTTTAATTTACGTCTGCAGAAAAATATCTTATGTTAAAAAGCAGCATGCAGTAAGCCACGGAGTCTTTGATTCCTCACTCTCTTGCTCCGTAAAGGAGCATGGATATCAGAGACATAATTGAAAGTTTTCTCAAAATTATTCCAAAGTATATTTGGATCGTTACTTTCCCAGTTTAAAAGGATTAGATGATGAAATAGATCATCAGTGAAATGTTGTTGATTAAAATTTCGATAATTCCTTACTTTCACGGTTTTTATCTCTATAAAAACCGAGAAAGTAAGGAATTATCGAAATTTTAATCAACAACATTTCACTGATGATCTATTTCATCATCTAATCCTTTTAAACTGGGAAAGTAACGATCCAAATATACTTTGGAATAATTTTGAGAAAACTTTCAATTATGTCTCTGATATCCATGCTCCTTTACGGAGCAAGAGAGTGAGGAATCAAAGACTCCGTGGCTTACTGCATG